GTACATAAGGTGGAGGAGCTACATATGGCGGTTCGGCTTCCTCTACATGCACCTTAGATGTCTCGTGAGCTATGGCTTTCCCTTTCTCATCAGCAGTGTGTCTAGACGTCGTCCCTTTTTCTGTGGTAGTAATAGGGACCGTCTCAGACAGACTCTCTCCACTTATAAGCTGGATGGCATTGACGTGTTCTCGTGGATTCGGTTCGGGCTTTCCAGGAAATGTGCCTTGCTGTCTAGAGGGTTCTGATGCAAGCTGCGCAATCTGCATATCCACATGCTTCAGATGAGCCTCGAATCCATCTAATCTCCTCTCAAAAGTGTCTTGCCTGACTTTTATACTCCGTATCTCGGTCTTCAACTCAGTAAATGATGTCTTCTGATCGAGCATTAGTTGGGAAAGCATCGTCTTGATGTCCGCTTCATCATTCTTCGCAGGTTGAGGTGCTCGGTAACCCTAATTCTCCTGCCCGTATCCTGGATTCTGCTGCTCATATCCCTGATTCTGCACCTGAAAACGTGATTGAGTGAAGCCAAGAGATCGATTCTAGGGTTTGCGCAGCGGATATAAAACAAAAATTTTAATGAAACCCTAGAACCATGCTACTGTTGAATCATAGAAACGTTAGAACGCTTATCTCAATCGATCCGGGGCCTGTATCAATTGAAGAACACGTCTGATCACGAAAGGCAGGAAATTACCTCGCCCTCTACACGTATCCACATGTCGGGATGGATTCCAACACCTTGGAGCTTGTCTGCTAGGACTAGAGATCTCGATCTCTCTTGTGTGCAAGGTTTTTGGAGGTTTAGGGTTTTATTTTTCTTCCTTTTTTCTTCCTTTCTTTCTTCTTCTCCTTTTTTCTTCCTTTTTTCTTCCTTTCTTTCTTCACTTAAAACCCTAGAAGACATTCTCCTTATATAGACTTTCAAAAATCCTAATTTGACAAGGAATAGATTACTAGGAATCCTAATCTAATTAGGTTTTCTAAACCTATTAGAATTCTAATCTCATTAGGTTTCCTAGATGTAATAGAATTCTAATCTCATTAGGATTCCTATACATAATAGGATTCCTAATCCCATTAGGATTCCTATTCCAATTAGGAATCTCAATCCAATTAGGATTCCTAATCGGGATAATTTAGCACACGTACTTGTCCATCCCTATTGTGTGTGACCCTGTAGGCTCATCCGGAATAGCAGTAAAACGCAGAATCTCCATTCCGGTAATACAAGTCATAGGCGGTCTCTAGCAAGACACTATGACTACCTATCTCGAATAGAGTTTGTTTGTGATCATACGAAAGCCAGTGATGATTCCGACTGATGATCCTTTTGTATCGCGATATGATATGTCGAACATAAGGCATGGACAAGCCACCTTATCTGATTCGACTGCTTTCTCGTTCACTGAGTTCGACTGTCTGAAATAGACGACGTTCGTCTATAGTGCGGCCACACATTTCTACAGTCTTGCTCACACGAGGGGTCCAGCGATATCTCTCTCTTTTACGAGAGGTACAAATCCCGTCTTGACTATCTAACATCCAGTACATGATTCGTTTCGTACCTGATACACGCCTTTATAGTCCTCCTGTTACGCAGGACGTTTGACGTAATCAAAGCACGCAACTCCTCATGTTGGATTCTGTAGATATCTCAGGTCTTAGGATCCAATCATGGAATCGTCGTATGAGATTCAAGTCATGACGCTAGTCCATGTGACAATCTCATGCGGGTCAGTCCAGTATTCCGTTCTGCAACGAATACCTATGATTGTGATCGTATTCAATACCTATGATCATCTATGTGATCATCAATCACACATCATACTAGTCTTATTATGTCGTTATTCCCATAATGACACAAGACTAGGGAGTTTAGTATCATTCATAATGATACATGGATTTCATAACAGATCTAGCATGCAGGAACATGTAATGAACAAGATACTCTCATAAAAAAAAACATATAGAAAGTATCAATACATCGAATGTATCTGAACAAAGCTCATAATCAGTACATCATAGAGCACTAAACCATTATCCTGGGCGCATTCGGGTTGTAGAGATTAGAAGGATTCTGGTACTGATTCCTTCCAATGTAGTTGACGTCCTTAACCGGTTCTTCCTCTGATCTGGCCTGATCAACCAGAAACATACCAGGCTGGACTTTCTGCGGGATAGACGTATTCTTGAGTCCCATATGCTGCTTGATCGCCGATAAATCAGACATGACTGCCTTCAAAGCAGCGGACTCGCCCAAATCTACCCGTCCTGTAGAGCATCTGATGCTATCTCCTGACATCCCTCTTGCTTTAGCCATCTTCGCAATCTGCATCTCTAGGGTGTCAAAGGGAATGTCGTATACACTCCCTCCACAAGCTGCATCCATCCATGCTCTAGTATC